TGACATTTGCCATATTTGCATGAATGCAGACCCAGTGTTGCCAGATCAGATTTTTCAAAAGAAATTGGAAATTTTTAATGTCGTATGAGTTTCCAGTTTTTAACTGTCAGAAGTTAATGTAAAAGTAGTTTGTGGTCTATAGATACAGAAAGTAGATTAGTGGTTGACCAGGACTAGGAGTGAGAGAAGAGGGATAGAATGGAGAGTGATTGCTAATGGATACAGAGTTTCTTTGGGGGATAATGAAAAAAGTTCTAAAATTAGATTGTGGTAATGATTGCTTAACTCTGTGAATATAATAAGAACCACTGACTTATACACCTTAAATGGGTAAATTGAATTTTATCTCAATAAAGTTGTGTGTTTTTTTAAGTACTTTGTGGGCCAAACATAATATGTCTTTGGGCCCAAAATGGGCCACCAATATCTTAGAATCTGAGGCTCCATCTCTTAGCATCCTTTTCCCACTTGTAAAATGGGAGACAATTAGCTTTCTTTTCAGCATGTCCAGAATAATCAGGAGAGCTTAGAATAAAGGTCACCCAAGCCATAAGGCCTATAGCCAGCAGGTACTGGGAGAGGGATTTGCTCTTTGTCTGCAGCAGCAGGAGAATGAATGGTCAGCAGTGGCTGCAGCAGATTTGAGTCCTCAAAAATCCAATATTTAATGAGACTACGTTTTCAAGAAGTCTCTGCAAGGCATTCATTTACTTGGTTTTGCCACAGTGAATAATAGAGTGGCAGCCCATTTGCCAAGTACACAGTTCCTAGTTATAAATACTGTTAAAGAAATTGATTACCTTCTTATATGATCTCATGGTATGGCTTGAGCAGAATAGAGAAATGAGACATCCTGGTGCCTAGCTCTGGCAACACAGAAGGAGGAAACCATCTCCCTCAGCCCCACCCATCTTCACACGCCTGAGGCCTGGCAGGCCAGCTCATGGGGCTGCAGGGACAAGCTGGGTCTGGTTCCTGGGTCTTGTACATCATTCCCAACACTGCCTTGGTCTTTTCTGCGCCACCTGGGCCTGGGGCTTCTGGCATTCCAGCTGCTCATTCAGGTTCCAATTATTAGACATCATCTGCCAATCCATTTGAGGTTGATTTTCATTTTAGTCAACCAGCATCTATTTGAGTACCCTGCAAATGCCAGCTACTGCTGACATATAAAGTCTCTGACCTCGAGGAACTTAGGCTGAAAAGAGACAAAAATGGAAACCATAAAGTCAAATATGAGAGCAGAATGAAATGCATCTACCTAGTGGTACAGGTAATGGTGATTTTGTGAGATAATAGGAGCATAATTAATTCCACCTAGGGACTGTTCTTCAGGAGGAAGGCAGTGGTATTTGAACTGGGCCTGTTATAGTCTTGCTAGGAAGGACAGAGAGGAAGAAATGAACCTATCATCTTACTCTGCCTTGTCACTTAGACCAGTGGTCGGCAAACTGCAGCTCGAGAGCCACATACGGCTCTTTGGCCCCGTGAGTGTGGCTCTTCCACAAAATACTGACTTCTGCGCATGGGCCACGAAGTTTCAATCGCACTGTACATGCGCGCCCGCACATGGTATTTTGTGGAAGAGCCACACTCAAGGGGCCAAAGAGTCGCATGTGGCTCACGAGCCGCAGTTTGCCGATTACGGACTTAGACTCTAGTCCTTTTGTTAGTAAATGTAAAATCAAATATCCAGGAAAATATTTAGAGTCTGAAGTACAGGTCTCATCTTTACTCTTCTTTTTTCAGCCTGTGCCAGGAGATCTATGAGTCTGTTGGCATCACCACACCCAGATGAAGGCAGTGAGCAATTTATAGGAAGCTTGAACTAACACGCTTCTGGAGTTGTCTTGTACAGCACTGTTCTCACTATCCATGCCGCTGTCCCAGAGCCCTGTGTTTGCAGGAGGATAGTTCTTCCTTCTTCCCAGTCTGCAGCTCAGTGTATAGCTGCACCTTTTCCAGGCTTCTTGCTGTTCTGCCCAGGCCAATGGGTTTGCACTTATCTCCTGTTTTCGCTCTTTTCTATTGGCAGAGGTTCTTGTTGTCTTAGAGAACTGGCTTGCTCTGCTCAACTTACTGCTTTCCCTGTCCTTCAACCACTTCTTACTTACTCCCTGTGTTGCCAGAGTCAGGCACAAGGATGGCCCATCTCAGCCCCTTCCCTCTTGGAAGAGCACAAATAAGAGACAGGGAGGGGACCAGGGATGGTGCTGGGAAGTCTTTGGTGCAGACAACCTATTTAGTGTCTCCTGATATGTTTACTGCTTGCTGTGTGGGTTCTGGAAATACCACACTCCATCCCAGGAGTAGTAGCCCCTGCTGACAGGCAGCAGGAAAAGGTTTGCCCCCAACTAGCTGCAAACTGTGTTGGGCTGGAAGGGCAAAGGTATCAGCTGTGGTGGTAGGAGAGCTGAAAAGGAAGAGAACAGGTTATATCTGCAAGCAATATCAAGCTTCGACAGCTGCCCTGCGTGGAGTTACTATCTGTGTGTATAGAATCAGTGTTTACTTTGGTTGCGCCCAGAGATGCTGGTGGGAGAAGTTGGGTTCTTTCTGGGCACCCCACCCAACGTACCCAGGATTGGAGCAGCAGGATTGTAATGCTGGGTCTCTTCTCTTCTCAGACAATGCTTTAGGGCTCCTTATCATCAGGAGACCTACGAGTGAGTAAAACAAAGCAGAGTAAAAACACAACAATAA